TGAAGCTAGAATGGTACGAAACTCGTGTTTAAAACACACTCATCAAAGCTTAACAATTCGTGTCCAGCTGTTAAATCTACTAACTGGTCGATACTTAGGAGTGGGAAGCTATCCTTTGGGCGGGCCTGATTAAGGTTAGAAAAATCAATACAAACCCTCCATTTGTCATTGTGCTTCTTCACAAGTACAGGGTTTGAAATACACTTTGGATAGTTGGCCTCACAAACAAAACCATTACTGATAAGCCTTTCCACTTCTTCTTTCAGGACCTCATACCTTTCGGCATTCAACGCCCTCCTCTTCTGCCTGTGTAGAGTGCAATTTGAGTCAATTTGCAAGTGGTGGCAACTGACTTTAAGATCTATTCCAATCATGTCTTCATGTCTCCATGCGAAGACATCTGAATTCTTTCGGAAGAAGTCTTCTAGTTCTTCCTTAAACTCCTCTTCCAATTCTTTACTAACTTGTAAAACCTTTGACATATCTTAAGGGTCCACTGAGAATGCTTCTAGTTCTTCCATTAAGGCAGCTTGTGATTCCGACTCAATCACTCTGGGATCCGGGTCCTCCAAAGATATTTCGGATCTGGCCTCTACCATGATAATGTCTCATGTTGGAGGCTGCCCTTCTTCAGGGGCCTTTGACATTTTGGCATCTAGCACCATGTTAACTCGTGGCTCTGTCTTCCTTAGAGAATTAAGATAGCACTCATTGGATCCCATTTGATCGCCTCGGACAATGGCAATCCCTCATTCTGTGGGAAATTTCATGCAGAGGTGATGGATGGAAGTGACTGCCCATAACTCTTTCAGGGCGGGTCTCCCCAGAACTCCTTGATAAGCGGATCGGCGATCAACAACTAAAAATTCCATGAAGTGGTGTGCCACCTGGGGCGAGGCCCCTATCTCAACAGCCAAAGTAATTTTACCCTTGGGAATGATGTTGTCTCCAATGAATCCATAGATAGGCGAGCTCATTGGTGTCAGCTCATGGTCCACTACCATTTTGTCAAAAGATGTACCAAATAGGATGTTAACTGAACTGTTATTATCCACTAGCATGCGTTTCAGCCTGTTACGGGCTACTACGGCCCTGACTACCAGAGCATCGCAGTGTGGAAAGTGTACACTTGTCACATCTTCCTGGGTAAATGTCATAGGCTCTACAGTCCTTCCAATTTGTGATTAGCTTACTATGTAGCTAGCCAATGGTGGAGCTCTCACCTCCCTGGTGTAATTCTTTTGTGCATTTTTTGATTCACCTTCTACATGGGGTCTTCAAATGATGGTGTCAATTTCACAAATGGGTTGCTGTTCATTTGAGGCGGATGAATCTCTCCTAGGGCCTTACCCGTTTCATAGCCTCCCCCTATCATTGTTTCTGTCATGGTAGGAAGAGTGTCGCCTTGTTTCACCTCTTCTTCGGGAGCTGCGTTTCAGATTATTACCTTGATAGTGGTTATCCCTAGCATCACGAGGGTTGCTTGTATACCTATTCGTCCATCTACATTTGCTTATGTCATGGCCATAGTAGCGATGGATGGTACAATAGGGTCGCATCTCCTTGAACTTATCTCTAGGCCTCCGCCTCTTCCCCTATTTCTAGAGGTTGAAGGTCATCCAGCATTTCTAGCTGGGTTGTTTGTGTTTGGCCCAACATTTTCATAAGCCAAGGTGGGGACTGCATTCAGAGTGGCACTGGACAGTGCTTGTCCTAAAGTGGAAGCTACAGTATGTCCGACCTGAGTCCATTGTTGGCTTACTATTTGAGAGGTGGGTTCCCTACTTATCTACCTCTGAGGAGGTGGGAGCCCTTGGTCAGTTCTGTTTCTATGGTCAACCATTTCTTTATTGACAATCTCAACCTTCATCATTTCCACCAATTGTCATATGTCAAAGTGTTCTTGCTTCGAACATCTCTCCAGAACAAAGTGTTCATGTTTAGCCCTCCTTTCAGGACTGAAAGGGCATATTTATCTGTGACTTGCTCACAATAAGTTATCTCATCAGTGAAGCGAGCAAGGTAGCTCTTTAGAGTCTCCCCTACTTCTTGCCTCATGTCTTGCAAGCGTTGAATGGGCACCTCTCCCTCTTTTCTTGAAAGATATTGGTTTAGAAATGCCTTTTTCAGGTCTGCCCAAGTTCTCATGCTAAGTGGTGCCAATCTGCTATACCACACTTTAGCAGCTCCACCTAGAGTTAGATGGAATGCCCTGTATTTCAAAGCTGGCAAGGCGCCTCAGAGGCTCATTTGTGTTTTATACTTGTTGAGATGTTTCTCCGGATCGCCCTTTCCTTCATATTTGGGAATCTTAGGAGGGACAAAGTTATGAGGCATCGAAAAGGTACGAAGTTCCCTGAGAAGGGGAACTTTTCATCGTCATCCAGTTCATACGGCCTACATGGTTCGTCAGAATCATTCACATCTGCTGCTAGGCGAGGTGGATGCTGGGCAGTTTCAGCTCTGTTTCCCCAATCCACTAGATTTCGCCTCTCT